ACGAGGGAGATGACGAGGGAGATGACGAGGGAGATGGCGAGGGAGATGGTGAGGGAGATGGTGAGGGAGATGGCGAGGGAGATGACGAGGGAGATGGCGAGGAAGATGACGAGGGAGATGACGAGGGAGATGGTGAGGGAGATGGTGAGGGAGATGGTGAGGGAGATGGTGAGGGAGATGGCGAGGGAGATGACGAGGGAGATGGTGAGGGAGATGACGAGGGAGATGACGAGGGAAATGACGAGGGAGATGGCGAGGGAGATGGCGAGGGAGATGGCGAGGGAGATGGCGCGAGGGAGAAGGCGAGGGAGATGGCGAGTGAGATGGCGAGTGAGATGGCGAGTGAGATGGCAAGCGAGATGGCGAGTGAGATGGCGAGTGAGATGGCGAGCGAGATGGTGAGTGAGATGGCAAGCGAGATGGCGAGTTAGATGGCGAGTGAGATGGCCAGTGAAATGGAGATTGAGATGGAGATTGAGATGGCGAATGAGATGGTAAGTGAGACGTACACAAGATACTACAAAAACAGATGTACCTACTTTTGATGCAGTTTTATCACTCTGTGAACGATAGGAATTTCTCTGCCTTCTATTTTAAACACAACAATTTCTCCTACCCTCACAGGTTCCTCTTGGTAGTTAGTCAAAAAGAGAAGGTCACCTCGGAAAAAAGCCGGCTCCATACTCCCACTGTAAGAAACAAAAATACATCAAATTATGTAAAATAATTTAAAAAAAAAAAAATATTTTTGGTTAGAATACTCTGAGTGTAATGTAATACATAAATGTTACTATTTTCAGTACCTAATAATTACCAATATTTTAACCACTATTTTTTTTGATCAATTATGGAATTGTGTGTTTTTCACAATAAAAAATAAATTTTGGAAGAGTTCCTCAAGGCCCTTCTCACCCGTAACTAACTAATGTCCCTCTAGTACCCCTCCATCATTTCGCCCATGTCTCGCCCATGGCATGCCAGTGGCGAGGTCATTGAAAGGCTGCCTTCAAAAGAGCGAGCCCAATGCTGAGCTTGGCGCGATTAGTCAGATATGGCATACCTTATTATACTCTGCATAATAATGGACACAATCGGTGTTTTTTTCATCACAACAGAAAACACAGTTTAGTGCTCTTACATTGTTGTTTAAAGTGTAGATTAAATAACGAATAAATTGGGTGATGTATAGCATATAGCGTGGTCAGCGGTAAATTAAACACTGAAATGTGTGCGTGTTTGTTGATTTTGGAATTGGGATTTGTGAGTTTGTAACCATGGATTGAATTGTTGTGTCCCCCGTTGTGTCTGCTTGTCTTGTCGATTTCACAAAATTGCATACAAATAGTGTTGGTACTTGCTAAAATTAAACTCACTGATATCCTAATTTCCTAATGTGTATGTTGACATGTTTCTACGATTAGTGAGTTTGAATTTGATGCATGAACCAGCTAGGGTTTACCATAAGATAAGATAACATCACACTGAAACATCCAACCCTGATCTTGTAAAATGTGTCTATTACGCGACATAATGATCGGCACAAACTTTACGCAATCATTTACCTCCATGGCGCAATCATTCAATCCCCCATTCAATAATAATGTTAATTCCCCATGACTTTAACAAGCGACATGTCTTTCCAGTATCATGTCTCTTGATTCTAAAACAATACGTGTAAATTAGCAGTGAAAATGACGACTAGTGTCTAGTGGCGATCCGCTCTGCTAGGATTGCCCTTATAATCACTTTTGTCGTTTTGTGGGTGTGTGTGTGTGTGTACATTTCCAGTATTTTCACATATGATTTCTTCTGTGATTTTTTTGGCTCGGCCGATTTTGTTCAAACTTGGCAGGTAGGTCACACCTTCACCCTAGATATTAGAAAAAATCTGAAAAAATGTTTTTGGCCCACCGTTGCCATAGCAACAACCAAAAAACAAGCAGCCTGTCGGCTGAGATAGCTCCGCTGTTAGCAATGCACATGGCATTTAAAGAACAGAAGATATCATTAGAAAATGAACAAATCTGAGAGAGGTCCACATGTAGTACCTATATATGTAATATCAAAGCA